GGTGGTGTGGGGGATTAATGGTGGGGGTGTCTGAGGCACCTCGCCGGAGGAAACCGGAAGGCCCCAAAGAGCAGGGGACCCCACCGAGGAGTGGGTTCGGCCGTCAGGTGCAGGCTCTTTGATTAAACCGCGGGGGCCTAATGAAAGTCGGGGGGCTTCTCTGAGTCGTCAGCCCGGGACTGCGACCAGCGGGGCTCAGCGAAGCGGAGAGGGCCAGGCCGGGTTCGGGTGTGGGGTGGGGAGAACCGGGGACATTAGGGTGTGCTTGGACATTGCTGTTCGGAGAGAGGCCGTCTCCCACAAGTTTTGGGTGGTGTTTGTCTTTTGCCACTTAGTCTTTGATTGCCCTCTTTGGGTCAAACAAACCTACACACCGTGCTTCCTTTCCTGTTGCTCTTACGTGATGGTTCACGACGGTTTCCTTTGATGTCTGAAGACAACAAAACATTGCGAGTCATTTCAGCTCAGGATTTCTCCTGTTAGCGATGCGCTTTCCAGCAGGTTTCCAGTGCGTCTGCCGGTGCACGATACGCACCACGTACGAGGCATAATAAATGCTGGTTTCACTTATTAAAACACAGAACATCATTTCAGCCTGGACAGATCAACAGTTGCTCTGGCTAAAACCGCCTTGGCCTTGAATGCCTCTTATATAAATCCCACAGTGGTCAGAAAACTTGCTCCAGGATTTAAGCCTATGCCACTTGGGTTTACTGTGGCGTCTTGGGTCTTGCCTCGTTTGCAAGCTCCCATTTGGGGTTGAGAGTAGGCTGTAAATGGCTGAGATTAATATTCCAAGTATATAGATGATAGGCAACTCATTTGTTATAATTAATCCCGCTGTGCTTCATCAGGAAGCAGTGGGATTTGTGAACCCTGTGGGCTGTGGATTAAGTCTTCTGGTCCTTCTGAGATTAGCAGAAGGTAGTGGGGGGTGAAGTTCCCTTCTTCCACTTCTGTGTTAAGCTGCACGGTACTGTACCAAATCAAGAAAGAACTCCATCCACTTCTCTTAATTTCAGATCTGTTTTTGCATTTGAGTTAGCAGGTAAACAATTTGAAGTGATGTGAAGGGTGCTTTTGCCAAATGTTCAGATTATAGTTTTTGAGATATTTTTTAAGTATAGGTTATAGATAAGCCTTTGAGAAGGAACCACTATGGTATTTATATAACTATGAGTAATGTTTAATGATTTTTTTCTCCTAGCAGGGTTTTTGTTGTTGTTAACAAAACCCATGTTCAAATTTCAAGGATAGCACAACTTTTCATAAAACAAAGCCTGTTGATTTTTTTCTGTGAAGATTATTAATTTTAAGAAAAGTTTTTTTCCCTTCCTAGCATTTTCAGTAGCAGTCATGCAAGTTTATCATTTCTTCCTATCTGTTTATACACTTTTCCTTTCTCAATTGATCTTACTGTTTTTCTTCCACCGTTTCTCTGTGGTTTTCATACTTTCATCTTGGCCTGCCCTGGTTTCTCAGACCCTCCATGTGTGCACTGTAAATTTTCCTTGTCGCCCATTACATAGTTTTTGCTTTCATAGCTGAGTAGGAGTCACAATCTCAAAGACCTCCTCAGTGGAGGGACAGACAGCATTATTGGGTAAATAGACAGTGGGGCCTTTGTGAAATGGATCCTTTTTGTGGCCTGCCCAAAGACATTCAGATTCCATTTTTAAAAACCAAGCAAGACAAAGCAAAAACTGATCTTTCTGCCAGTTTGCAAATCCTGCTAGCTATTGTTTGGCAATTGGAATCTCTAATACGTACCTTTGTAGAGCACAATGTAGATTCATATAGGTCTAATGGCATCTCAGGAGGTTTTTGATTAATAAACTCAATTTAAACCTTTCAAAGGTACTATTTGGGGCACTCTGGAGGGCACAGCTGTGAACATTTCCCCCCTATTCTCAAAAGCAACCCATATACAGATAAGGCAGAATTTGATAAGAGATAATAGACATATAAAGAAAATATGGTAGAGTTTGGAGGAAAGAGAAACTGGTGCCTAGGAAAGAAGGATGCCTGGAAGGTGGTACTTGAACCCCGCATTGGAAGATGGGTGGGATCTCAGCAAGCAGCATAGGGCATTCCAGGTAGAGAAAAGAGCCTCAGAGTGGCGTATGAACAGTGTATATATAGACAGGTCCATAACTGGACTGTTAAATTAAATCTCTGGTGGCTCCTCTGATTTCAGAGTGAGCTTGGTTGGGAAGGTGAAGGAGAGACTCAGGAGGTGGGAAAAGCGACCCTGCTGTGAGAGAAAGGGAGAGGCAGCAACCCCTCTGAAGGTATATTTCTCAAAGTGTGGGCCTCTGGCAGCTTGGCTCGTTTTCACCTGGGGTATCCCCTGGGGTACTTGTAAAATGTAGTTTCTCAGACTCTACCTGGGGATCAATTCGAGGGAGAGGGCTGGAGCTTCGGAACCTTCTTTTGATTAAGTCCAAAGCCATTTTAGGCACATAAGGGGAGACTGATGAGGGAGAGGGTGGGGCGCGGGCTCATGTCATTATGTAAACCTAGCCTGCTGCACTAAGGGGTGTGGACATTATTTTGTGGGCCATAGGTTTCAGTGGAGGGGGGGGCTGTCATGAGGAGGTGATTTTCTCGGGGCTGTCTGAGGCAGCAATTGGGGAAGACGGATTTATGTTGAATGGGAAGAGGTCAGGAGACGTAGTGACCTAAGACTTCCTCCCTCCGAGGAAGTCACTCCAGGTGGCCCTCTGGCATGGACATTGAGAATAGGTTGGAGAGGAGGCGCCAGGGTTCTTATACTGACAAATACTCAGGTTTGACATGGTAACTTGTTTCCTCGTGTCTTTTTAGAACTTTCACTTGAAAGCTTCATTCCAGATAGCTTTTATTTGCTGCTCATTTCTAGACTTGCTTTTCCTTTTTAGATGTCCCTTCCATTACATTACCTCTGGATTCACTCCATCATTGCTGTGAATTGTTTATGTGTTTTGGCCTTTCCACCTCATCTTTCTTACTCATGATCTCCTGTCGTGTCATGCGTCCCCTGTCCCCACCCCTCACTTTGTATGAACTTGCTTCTTAAATTGCCAGAGGACATGGTAAAATGGTGAAATAGAAATATGAAACAATGACTTAATAGTATGCAAATCTGACTTAATTACACGCAAATGAAATAATTTAAATAGAAGTTTCAAGGGGGGAAAAAATCACTGGAAACAAAAATGGATAAAAGTAAACTGACCATTTAGAGCAGAGATTGGCAAACTGTGGTGGCCTGTTAGGCCCAGCCTGTTCTTTTACAGTCTGTCAGCTAATAATGAGTTTTACATTTTTGAAGGAAGAATATGTGGCAGAGAGAGTGTCGCCCTAGATATTTACTAATTGATAGCCCATTAGAGGAAAAGTTGCTGACTCCTGCTTTGAAGAGCCAATGTTCATCTAATCACATAGTTTCTGAACTGAAAGTAATGTACTAGGTTTGAATCTTTATGAGTTGCATATTCCAAAGAAAACTGAGAAAAATGTTAGCTCCATAAATATTGGAGCAGCTGAAGAAAACGAGTGACTCATAAATAATAGGATATAAGCCTCAACAAACAATTTAAAAAAATAGGGAAAATCTTCCGGGTCAGGAGGAAGGAGACTGCTAGTTGTGTACTCAGTGCTTTGTGTACATAATCTCATTTATTTCCCTCGTATGCTGCTTTGAATTTTATTGGCATTTTATACTTGTCACTGGGAGCCTTCAGAGAAGTAATACTTTCCAGTTGTCCTTAAAGGGAGGAGACAGACGAATGGTGCGTTGGGGGTGTGGTAGTTAATGCTGGTGTTAAATAGACTAAGAAATACCCATTTTCATCATGTCCTTGAAGCAGTTCCTGGTAGTTTAACCACATTTCATCACAAGCTCATAAACAATGCCCCTTGGTGGCCAGCATTTTACCAGATCAAAAATACCTCCAAGGTATTTTTGGCTAATCCATTTGTTATCACCCTTCTTTTTCTCGCAGGTCAAACTACCTTGTAATTTTGTTTCTGTTTTCTTAGGTAGGACTATTTTGGGCAGGAAATTTTCTCAAGAGGCCTTAGAGTAAAGGCCTATATGCCTAAGTGGGGGTTCCTTGGGTCAGTATGATCTACCCTGTTTTGTTACAGGCTGCTCAGGGCCATGTTTTTACTTTGTGTAGACTAATAAAAGGCATTTGGTGAGGCTTTAAAAAAATATATGGGTGATTGGATTATGAGGGCTTTCTGTTTGGGGCTTTTTAAAATCAAAGGTACAAAATTTTTTATACCTTTCTTTGAATTTAGAAAAACTTCTTTTAAAAAGTTTAATTGAGAAATAGGAAATAATACTTTATTTTTTGTTTTGTAGCTGAAGATGTTTGAGAATGCTGTTTTGGGTAGAGAAACTATTAAGCAACCCTAAATTTGATTTATTTCCTTTGCTCACACAGCTGCCTGCCTGCTCTATTAGATGTTTTCCAAGTTCTGTGTCTTGTAGATTCTAAAAGCTCTTTGAGTGTAGATGCTAAATGTGTTGAATTTATTTCTTTATTTCATGTGCCTATGTGCAAAACCAGGAAGAATTCTTTTTTAAAAGTATGCTGTAGTTAGGTTAGGGTACTTTTGGCTGATTTTAAGAATCCTGTTCAGCTGGGTAATATGGCCTGAGGAGTTGTAGTTGTGGTTTTGTCTTTGGATGATTTTCTTAATTAACATGAGTGAGATTCCCATTGACTGGTTTAGAAGCACAATGGAGATGAGCCTTTTTAACACATTTCATCGCCTTGAAAATTAGGATCTAAGCTGTTTGTTGGAATGTTTTGAATGGGGCTGTTCCACAGGGAGTCCTAAGTTAGGGGTATAGGATGTTTTGGATAACTAATTTGGGATTTTTTTCCTGGTTATTTGAAGGATTTAATTACCAGAAGAGTTTCTATTTTCAGCAGAACTATTTTTGTTTCAGTTCTTTAAAAATATGTCACACACTTCCTTGCCCCATTAAGCAGGCAGAATAGAACTAAACATAATTTAATATTTTTCTAATGAATCAGGGCTGTTCTACTGAAGGGTGGATGGTGTGAGATACTAAAGGGAACCTGAAAAGATCTTAGGGAGCTTGCTTCCTTATATTGCTCTCTTCTTGCCCCTCTTTCTCCTCCTCTTCCTCCTTCCTTCTTCCCCTCCCTCCCCTCCCTTTTTGTAACAAAACCCACAAAAATTATTTACTTCTTTTAAAAGTAGAGGGGAAAATGATCTGGAAAGAGGAATATGGCCACCTTCATGTAAACTTAGTGAATCAAAGACTGAAGCAACCTTTTACACTGACTTGGCGTTCATTTTCATTTGCTCTAATAAAAGTCATCTTTACTATCTTTATCAAGGTTCTTTTGGTTTTTCTGGATCATGCAGTGTTTGAAAAAAATCATTTGAGCATCAGTAATGTGTTGTGCCACACTAGCCTTGTGGTCAGGGATAGCCCACTCTTTCCTTTTGTAATGCCCCACCTCCTGTTGAAGAAGGCCTTGGTTTTCCTTTGGTGTCTCACGGCTGCCTTTCGTTTCTCAGCCCCTCCTGTCAACTTGCTTCTTTCTCCTTCCTGATTTCTCAGTTCCAGTCCCCTCTAATGTCCCAGAACCTTGACTTTAAGGCTAACACCAAGCAGAGTACCTTTTAGTTGGCAGATTATCTCATTACAATGCATTTTAAAATATGCATATGTATTTTGGTTCTCAATTCTTCATGTTCTTGTGACTTTTTTTTTTTTTAAACACGGGGAGTCTTTTATTTTTTAATTTTTATTTATTTTTAAATATATCTTTATTGATTTCAGAGAGAGGAAAGGAGATGGAGAGAGATATTGAAACATCAGTGATGAGAGTCATTGATTGGCTGCAGCCCGCAACCCGGGCATGTGCCCTGACCGGGAATCGAATCCCGATTGCCTGGATCCTAGGTCGACACTCAACCGCTGAGCCACTCCCGGCTGTGCTCTTGTGACTCTTTTGTGACCATCCACCCTTCTCTTCCCACCTCCTATTTGTTGGGCAGGGTATTTGGGTGCTGGATTTTACTGTTGATAATGACTTCATTTTCTAGAAAACTTCATTAAGACTATCAAAATTTTAATGCAGGAAATGATGTACATAGGAGATTTCCACAGTTGATAAGGTACATATGGATTTACACATACAGCACAAAGTTTGCACACAGTTTGGTTCAGATTAAAGGGGAACGCAGCCTGCTGGAAGGTAGTATATGTTAGGACAGGCCTCTGAATTTACTGGCGCCTCTCCTCCTCCTTAGCCCTACCCATACCACCTTATAAAAGTGCCCCTTTAGATATTACTTACCTTGTCCTGGGATAGGACTAGAAAGGTTCAGTCATTAGGAATGATGGCTGAATTCCTAATGCAAAGTTTTAGAGCTGCTTTCCTTTTCAACAGGAGGAAACAATCTTTCTTTCTTTGGTTTGTATACAGGTTCTAGTCAATACTGCTTGCTGTGTTTTGATGTTGATGGCTAAGCTGATCCAATGTATTGTGTTCGGCCCTCTTCGAGTGAGCGAGAGACAGGTAAGTCCAGACAGCAAGGATAGATTCTTGTGACCAGAGTTTTTTTTTGCAGTGATATAATTTCAAATTTCCAGGAAAGTTGCATTGATATTACCTGAAGAACCTGATTCATAGTTAACATTTTGTCTCATTTGCTTTAACTTTTGCCTGTTGTTTCTATACTTATTTTTTCTGATCTGTTTTTAAAGTTGTGGACATCATAGCCCTTTACCTCCAAATACTTCAGTATATATTTCCTAAGAGCAAGAACATTTTCTTGCATAACTGTAGCATAATGGTCAAAATCAGGAAGTTTAGTGTTGATAAAATATTTTGTGTAATCTCCAGTCCATATTCAATGTAGCCAGCTTGTTCCAATATTGCTCTTTAGAGCTGTTTTCCCCATGACTTTTATGAATGTAGTTTTAAAAGAAGCATAGATTTTTAGTTTGAATAATCATAAATATCTTTAGAATGAATATGGATTCTTTTCCAAAGGAATTTACTGAGAGATTTTAATTTTTCCCTTTGGAAAAGTAATTTAGGATTGTTCTACAAGCAGAAAATTAGATGCTTTCTTTTCTTTTTTTTTTTTTTCAGGTGAGACTGATTGAACATGATTCTCAGAATGCGTATGTGAGCAGGGCAAATAATAAAGAATTATGCCGCAGGATACTGCATAGATCAGCAGTTCCCCAAAGATTTTAGTGGATAGAGTATAGAATGGTGTGTTTTAAAATAAGAATTTAGATCTGACTTTTAAAATAACAACATACAAATAAAACTATATTTTACTTTATCTCATCTCAGTGCTAAGACACAGGAACCTACTCCATTAAAAGTACAACAATGGCTTCACTCCTTACTTACGCTTTTCAACCCAGATCTCCTGTTATCAGATCATCCGAGGTCCTAGTTTAGAGCTGAAATGCAGTTACTGTGGGGGTTGAGCTTCTTGGATGCTGTTATGAGCAGGACTGTTTGTTTCCCCAGAGACTTTTCATTAATATCATCACTTTCTCCAAAATATCAACTCCAGAAGTCTCCCAGATTCCCGTCTGTGGAATGTAGACTTTTTTGGGTAGAATACAAAAGCTGCTTTTAATGCTTCTTTCTTCTTCAAGAAAAACTTTTGACTTGTGGGCCAGAAGTTGATCAGGCAGGTAAGCCATCTAATTGCTGATGGATTGAGCTGGCACCAGTGGGCCTTAGATACACTACTGCTTTCTTTTTCTAAAACGTTAAGTATCAGTTTGAAACTTAACAAAAAACAACCTAGGAGTATTCCAGAGATTTTTTACAAGACCTAGAGTTAATCATAATGGGCACATTTATTACTCAGCTCTGTGTTTAAGCTTTTCAGTGTAGAGAACATTTTCATGCTGTTCTGTGATGACTTTTTGACTGCTGTCATTCAGTAGCACTTATTAAGCACCATTCTGAATTAGGACTAAATAGAACTGACATGGGTTTGCTCTGTGAGTGCTTAAAAGATCGAGACTGGAGGAATGCTAGAGGCAAAGACATTAACTACCTAAAATGGGATAAATATTAAACTAAAGTGGTGGTTTAGAACAAGGAAGTTTTTTAAGCACTTAATGCCTATTAGGCACTTGTCTAAGCACTGTACATATATTAACTTATTTAGTTCCCTCAACAATTTTATGAGTATGAGATATAAGCCGTTAAAAGGCCCCATTTTATAGGTGGGGACACCAAAGCACGGGGATGTTAAGTGACTTGCCCAAAGTCACACAGCAAATAGATGATGGAGTAAAGACTCAAAACCAGGGAACACAATGTCCTTGGTTAGCCTTGTGCTTTACCTGCCCCAGATCTGGAAACAGACATCCACCAAGGACTGCTGGTTTGTTTCTTCTTTGTACAAAAGGTGTACAGTCAGTGTACTGTGTGTAAAGTTCTCAGAAGAATTCTTTACATAGTCATGTGTCAATCTGTTACATGGTTAGGTTCAAGTTCAGTTTCATTCAATTTTGCTTTTTTTCTGTTTTCATTTTTTTGACTTTGTGAAATATTTACATGGTTCCAAATTCTATATAAAAGTAGACTTAGAAGTCACGTTTTTATCCCACCATCCCCATAGTTGGCTTGATAGTGTATTTTAATATCTGGTGGCTCTTTTTTCAATAGAATAAAGATTTTTAAAACTGGAAGTCCTGAGTGTAGGGAGAGTACAGTGAAGCAGATATGCATTGGTCATGGGACGTACACTTACACAGCTTCTTTGGAAGTCAGGTAGATGGCTGGATAATGCTGAAGAAATAGAAACTTATGCAGAGATATTCATCACAACATTTTCTGAATGGTGAAACAATGAAAAACAGTTTCAGCGTCCATCTGTAACCACTAAAATGATATACTCAGAGAATATTCACTGACATTGATAAGAGTCTTGCAGTATGATAGTGAAGTAAAGCAGTGTACAGAAAATGTTTTGCACACAGGAAGAAGCTAAGAAAAACGCATGAAAATGTTAAGACATCATTTTTGTTGTATTTTTTTTTTTTTTACTTTTATTGATTATGGGCTGCCAAATGAGCATGTTATTTTTGAATCTGAAAGATGTTAAAAAAAAAAGTCTAATCCTTTCTATTGCTTGTTTTAAGAATCCAGAGAACAGACATAGTATAAATATTTGTAGCCCTTACCATTCTTTTCTATTTTGTATTGGAAGTATAAATATATGTATTATTTAATTCATGAGGAATTAGACTAATATCACTCCCCCCCCTTTTTAAAAAAAATATATCTTTATTGATTTCAGAGAGAGTAAAGGAGAGGGAGAGAGAGATAGAAACATCAATGATGAGAGAGTCATTGATCGAGCCCATAACCCGGGCATGTGTCCTGACCGGGAATTGAACCCCCATCGCCTGGATCCTAGGTCGACGCTCAACCTCTGAGCCATGCCCGGCCGGGCATCACTCCCTTTTGATGACTGAAATTCCCTAAGTGATTTAAGATTATAATCCAAAGTCTGCAAATTACTTTCCAGGAGTCTTACCTCTATTCTTCAGAGGGCTTATTTTTTCCTTTGCCTTTTATGTTCTTGTGGACATGTGTTAGAGCTGAGATAGAATGTTTTCTCCACAGAAGTCGGCTTTTGTTATGTTAACTTCTCTTAAATGGGTTAGATGTGATGGTACTAACCTTTGCAAACATTTTTCTTTTTAGCACCTCAAAGACAAGTTTTGGAATTTTATTTTCTACAAGTTCATTTTCATTTTCGGTGTGCTGAATGTCCAGACAGTAGGAGAGGTGGTCATGTGGTGCCTCTGGTTTGCTGGACTTGTATTTCTGCATCTGATGGTTCAGCTCTGCAAGGACCGATTTGAATATGTGAGTTTTTAGCCAAGCTCTTTGCTTGCTGTGCCACACATTTGCCAGGTTTATATCCTATAATGTGAGGGAGCCATAATAGGCGTGTCGGGGTAGGTCTGTAGAGGAAGACTTCTGGATCAGGTACCCACTGCCTGTTTCTTGAGGGACTTTTTGAAGCAGCCAAGGAATGCGGGATCAGTGTCTCCTAGGGAGGCTTCCTCCCCTACACAATGGTGTATTACATTACAGTCCACGTGGGGTCAGTTCGCCTACATAAGTGTTTCTGTCACAGCACAAGAAACCTTAATATATAAACTGGATAAAAGTTGGTCTCTTCCAGATATTTTCTCCTCTAGTTTGCTTCCATTTCCCTCCCTCTTATTCTGGCTCTTGGAGCTCTTATTTCTGATTAATTTACATTATTTCCACCCCTGGGCAAGGACTGAATTAGCTCTCTGGTTTCCTTGGTCCCAGGAGAAGTGAATCCTTTTCCAGCTGGGCACAAGATCTGCCTCTTGGCTTCAGATCAGAGCTCTGCAGGTGAACCCTCACTCTTGAGTGCTCCGAACTAATTTCATAGGACCCAGATAAACCCACAGTTCTGCTCTTCCATTAAACCCATTCCAGGGCCTTGTCTGCCCCTTCTTTACCCATTCATCATGGACCAGTGGCTTTTGCACCTCTGTGTGAGTTAATTCAGTCCCCAAAACTATAGCTCTTTCACAATTCAAGGCCAGGAACAGGAGCTTCTAACCTCCCTAACTGGTTTGCTGTCTACACCTTCCTGCTCAGGAGCTACAGCTCCAGGCCGCCTTTTCCAAGCTGTTGCCTCTCCTTGCATGCTATTAACATAGCATTATAATACTGTAGTAGTAAATCCGCACCGGGGTTACATTTCAGTTGTCCTAGCCCTAAGGACTCAGAATGTCCTCCAAGTGGGTTCTGGGGAGGGGGCTAGAGCAAGAGCAAGAAAGAAACACAGTGTGGTGCTGTCCTGAGTCCTGTTGAATATTAGAAGAGAGAATTACATACCTCTGGAAAATTGCTTCTAGAGATTTATAATCCCACTGGTAGCATCCTTGAGAATTTGAGGTGACAATATAATGTGTATTGTTATATTCAGTAGTTTAAATGATAAAAATCTCTCTATATTATCTCATACTCATGTTTTGGTTGGTTGGAGGATTTTGGCCATCTGGTAATGGGATGCTTTTTTGTGCTTCCCATTTGGACATGAAGCTAAGCACAGATCCCCAAGCAAAGCCACCAAGATTAACCTTGAGTTTCTCATTGAAGTTTCACACTGCCACGAAGAAGAATGAGCTTTCTTCTTCTGTTTTGTATGTTTCAGCTCTCTTTTTCTCCCACCACTCCGATGAGCAGCCATGGCCGAGTTCTGTCTCTGTTGATGGCTATGCTGCTTTCCTGCTGTGGATTAGCGGTTATCTGCTGTGTCACAGGCTACATCCATGGGATGCACACATTGGCTTTCATGGCTGTGGAGGTAAGATGTAAGATGCAGACAGCTTTTTGCTCTGATCACATTTCTGAATATTTTCAAGGAAGCTAGAGGAGTATTGACAGGTTATTTCCACCCATGAAGTGACTGATGGATATTTGGTCTTTCATTGTAAGAAGTGTTTTTGAGTTCTGTCCTGTGTTGGGTACTGGTACTAAATGCTTTTATGTGTGTGATTTTGTGTAATCCTTGCTTCAACCTAATTAAAAGTGATTATTTTTGCCATCATTTAAACAGTACTTACTGTATACTAAGAATTGTTCTAAATACCTTACCTGTATTGACTCATTTTATTATTCCTGTTCATGCATTGGAAACAGGCAGAGAGGATGAAGTGAATTGCTTAAGGTTCCGGAGTGGCAAGTGGCACAATCAAAGACCAGTGACTCCAAAGTAGGAAGGATATTTCCCTTAAGATACCATAAGCAGTGATTGGTGGTGATTAAAAAGGGGTACTCTGTAATTGTGTTTTTTCAGATAGGGCATGAATTAAGATTTTATAGAATAATATAATATATAAACTATATTTATTATTTTGAAAGAATAATTTGATATTCATATATATTTTAAAGTTTGCCTCTTAAACCTTTCTGAAAATACCAGTTTCTATTCATTAGAAGTCAAAATTTTCTGAACTTATATTTAGTGACTTTGCTTTTTCCTCAGGCCAAAGGCAAAATACTTTTATCTTGTCCATAATAGCAATTAATGAAAAATATGAAATGATAGATATATTAAAGCTGATTAGCTAATATCAAAAACACTAACTTTAAACTACTAATTGGGAATTTGTTGGAATAGGGTTAAAGTTTATTTTGCTTAATAGCTGTCATTTCTGAGTATAATATAGTAGGTTACTTAAAATTAGAAAAGGAACATTTAAGTGCTTAAAAAAAGCATTTGTAATCCTGGTTGAATACTTTCTGTATGTGAAAAGTATACAACTATATTTTCTCTTAAAAAACATCTGTCTAAAACTTTATTTACACTGACCAGTGTTAATTCGTTTATTTTATTTTATTTATTTATTTTTAAAACATATCTTTATTGATTTCAGAAAGAGGAAAGAGGAAGGGGAGAGAGAGAGATAGAAACATCAATGATGAGAGAGTCATTGATCGGCTGCCTAACCCGCAACCCAGGCATGTGTCCTGACCGGGAATTGAACCCCGATCTCCTGGATCCTAGGTTGATGCTCAACTGCTGAACCACGCTCAGCTGGGCAATTTGTTTATTTTAGATATACTTTATTATAAACCATCATTTGAATAATACTGTTTTCTTTTTTGGTTTTCTCTAACTTTTAATTAATATTAGGCCAAACTTTGAACAAGGTATACCTAAAAATAAAGACATTTAAATTAGGCCTGTTGGGTCATACTATAGTGCCTATTTTTATTTTAGTTCATTACTGTTTATTCTTTTAAGATAATTTATCATGGTATAGATTTGCTATTTTAAGCTAATATAGTTTTATTTTTACAGTGTTTCTCTTCTATGTAGGTAAAATATTTTCCATTTATAACTGGGAGTGCCCTAATCTCAAACATAAATGATTTAACAGTTCTATTCTGGTAGATTAAGAGGAAAATGGTCTTTTCTTTTTTTAAAAAAATATATCTCTGTTGATTTCAGAGAGAGGGAGGGAGAGGTTGAAACATCAGTGATGAGAGAGTCATCATTGGTCGGCTGCCTCCTGCATGCCCCTGACTGGGGATCGAGCCTGCAACCCGGGCATGTGCCCTGACTGGGAATCGAACTGTGATCTCCTGGTTCCTAGGTCAATGCTCAGCTGCTGAGCCATGCCTGGCTGGACAGGGAAAATGTTCTTAATATCAATTTCTATAATACACAATACCACCAGGGGCTTATTTTGTTTCTGATTTCCTTCATTCTCTTTTCTTCCGTGTGGGCAGAGGGAGTGCACACAACGTTATGTAGAGAGCAGGTGCTCATATCTAGGGTAGTGCTACCTAAATTATACTTGGGGTATAGGCTCACCAAATATTAAAAAAATCCTTCTTAGGTAATCAGTGTGTAACTTAATGCTGTATAAAATAGAAGTGGGCATCCAATCACTAGGATGACTCCAGATTGTAGAAGGTATCCTCAGGAGATGGACAGGTGTAATTGATTGTCACCTATCAATAGAAAAGAGCTCAATAAAAGTTGAGTTGCATGAAAATATTCCATGGAAGTTTGAAGCAGATGAAATAAAATGGTTGGTAAACTTGAACAACCACTGTTTTTTCCTTTTCATTTTATTGAGGTGTCGCTGACATATGGCAGGCACTATAAGTTTAGTTGTACAGCATCCAGACTTGACTTACACATACTGTGAAATGGTTACCATAATAAGTTTCCTTAGCATTCCTCGTATCGCACAGTATCGCACAGTATCCCACACAGCACTGTCAACCGTAGTCATCATGTTGTCCATTACACCCCCAGGACTTATGTATCTTATAACTGAGAATTTGTACCTTTCGACCCCCTTCACCCACTTCTCCCATCCCCACACTCCTTGGACAACCTTTGAAATTGAACTGAGAAATGTTTGACTTTTATCATTTTGTAAAAGTAAGTTTGGCCTGAGGAATCCTAACTTTGACTAAAAAGAAAAATGTATCTGTTTTTTTTATAGTCTCTTCTTGTCACAGTGAGGACTGCTCATGTGATTTTACGGTGAGTAGAAATTTGGGAGGGAGGTGATTAGATCTATTCATACAGTTTATTTTAAGATATAATGTGTATAAAATATATAAAAATGTGACTATCCTATGTCATGTTTAAACCAAGTTCAATTGTAACAGAAAATATTAAGACGATTTTTCTGTTTTCATCGCAGATATGTAATCCACCTTTGGGACCTCAATCATGAAGGGACGTGGGAAGGGAAGGGAACGTACGTCTATTACACAGATTTTGTCATGGAGCTCACTCTCTTGTCCCTGGACCTCATGCATCATATTCACATGTTGGTAAGTTTCCTCAGAAGGAGCTAAGGTTTTCAGACTCAGGAACCCTGGTTAGTACATTAACAAATAAAACATTGGTGCGTGAGCCATTTAAGACCATAAAAGAACGCAGCTGTGCCTTTCCTCTTTTTGCCACTGGGTATAAAGCAGTGTCCTGGAACCACTTTGGCTGGCGCCCAGCTCAGGAGGAGTTTGCTGACTCTCCTAGGAGATTGTGAACTCTGCTGACCTAGTCAGTAGATAATTCTTTTAGCATAAAGTTAAGGGGTTTCCTCTGCCCATAGTTTCTGTGGGTTGTAATATTTTGCAGTTACTTTGTAAGTGGTAACGGGAATTCTTGCAGAGTTAGCTACTTCATGGATTCATAAATTTTCCATCTTTGTAGTTAAAAACATCTTTATATTTAAATCCTCCCACGTCATTGGCGTGCAAGAAATGACAACGTTGAGCACCTCATTCATTGGTTAGTACATCAGTGATCTCATAATGGTGAGAGTCAACATATTTGGTGGATAATTTATTTAAATTATAAGCCTATCAAAGTAGTATTTAAAAACTGTTAGGTTAGATACAACACATTTCTAAATAACTTTGAAAATAACTTTGAAAACATACTTTAAAAAACCATCTATAGCTTTTGTTAAGGGAAAAAAAAAAGATCTCCCTCTGCCAACCCCCCAACAAGTGCTCAGAGATCACTGTTAACATTTTGTTGTATTTACTGCTGCTTTCTATGTTCAAATACGTAACAATTAAGAGCTTCTGTTGCACACCTCACCTTCATCACTAGCAGGCTCACATTCATTTTTATTTTATTCTCTCCCCCTCTTGTGAAGTTATTTGGCAACATCTGGTTATCCATGGCCAGCTTGGTCATCTTCATGCAGCTGCGTTACCTGTTTCATGAGGTCCAGCGTCGAATCCGCCGGCACAAGAACTATTTGCATGTCGTTGGCAACATGGAAGCCAGGTGAGTAAGCACAAGGTGCCATTGCCCAAGTTGACTCATTTTAGATCTTTAAAAATAGCATCCCAGGAGAACTTGCTTTTGTAAACTGGTAACAGAATGATGAAGAGTACAGGCTCTGGAGTCAGACTGCCTGGGTGTGAGGTCCCACTTACCTGTGATTGTGGGCAGTTTACTTAACTCTCTGTGCCTCAGTTGCCTCATCTCTAGGGGTAATAGCAGAACCTTCTTCCTGGAACTGTTGGGATGATTCAGTGGGATAATATGTGTAATAAAGTTGGAATATTCTAGTATTGGATATGTAGTATGTGCTCAGTAAATATTAGGTTCTTATTATTTTGTCATTTTTATCATTATTATTATATGGAAGCTTCCTTGGGTATCAGCCCTCTTTATTTTAAGAAGAGGGGTCTCACTTATTCTTTACTCATGCATGTTTACACACACACACACACACACACACACTCTCTCTCTCTCTCTCTCTCTCTCTCTCTCTCTCATACACTCACACATTCTTAACCTCATTGAAGGAGGCACTCACTTGCCAACCTGAAGGTAAAACAAGCCTAAAAGTGTGAAATTAATGGATATCCTTTTTGTGTCCAAGGGGACTGTTTGGCTCTCTGGGGGTCTTACCTCCTCTGATTTGCCCAGAAATGTTCCCTCAAGTTGTCACTAACAGGAGCCATTGTTAAGACAAAGTTAGTTTCTGTCTATAAATTTCTTACTTGCTTTATGATAGGCCATGAAGAGAAAACAGGTGTAATATTTTTGATGGTTGGCAGTTTTTTACTGAATTCCTTTTTACTGCATTCCTCTATAACTGTGCTGTTGGAAAGGTGCCGTCTGTCCAGTGGTGCTCGGAATACGTTTGTGGAACTGATTCCTGCTTGGTGTGCTCTGTTTACAGGTTTGCAGTTGCAACTCCAGAGGAGCTAGCTGTCAATAATGATGACTGTGCCATTTGCTGGGACTCCATGCAGGCTGCAAGGAAGCTGCCATGTGGCCATCTCTTCCACAAGTAGGAGCTTCGGGAAGGGCCTGGTGTTCTGTCTAGGGCATGCGGGTGGTTTTTGTGCTGAGCTCAAGAGGAATCCTAGCAGAGGGGTGGGGACATTACCTCAGATTGGCTGTGGTGCTCTTCAGGGTTTTGAAGAGAACGCCAAGGTTATGGCAGTGTTAGTGGGCAGCTAACGTAGCGGGAGAGAACAGGTCATTGGCATGGAGGATAATTCAGCCACCTGGGTTTTTAGGTGGTCTGACAGAGTTGGGAAGGAAGACGGTGAGCCATGTGATGAAGTGTTGAAGAAGGGTCATGACCAGGAGCTTGGTAGATGACCGTGTACATTAAGGAATTAATGTTCACAGCTGAACATTCTAGGAGTAAGAGTGAAGTAGGGCAAAGGTGATGCCGACAGATGTTTCTCAACATTTAAATCTCACCTAGTGTTAAATAGAAAGTAAAATTGCAGCACATTTGATACATTCAGAGTACTTCTGGTGAATTCTCACAGGATATGCTAAGGATATCTTATTTGCACTTTTTGGTAGCTCCTGTCTTCGTTCCTGGCTAGAACAAGACACCTCCTGCCCAACATGCAGAATGTCTCTGAACATCACTGACAATAATCGTGTCAGGGAGGATCATCAAGGAGAGAACTTGGATGAGAATTTAGTTCCTGTCGCAGCCGCTGAAGGCAGACCTCGCTTAAACCAACACAACCACTTCTTCCACTTCGATGGTTAGTTGGTTTCAGCCTCTAAAACCGTATCCAAAGGGTGATGCTGTTTTAGTTGTAAATTGTCCTGTATAGGCCAGTTTAATGTAATATTTCAGTTTTAATTGAAACTGCTCAGAAGGTATTGATAGCACTAAGGGGCTGGTTGTTGTGTACCAGGCACTCTGCTAGATTCTGTGTGAGCACGGGGTGGGCTGGGGCAGGGAGGAGGAGGCAGCAAAAGCCTCAGCCATGCCTGCAGGGAGCACACTTGATCAGTTTAATAGTTAACTGTTGCTCCTAATTTATTGCATTGGTGTAGTACTTAAGCATAGAATATAGGGTCATTGAGTAGCCTTTCTAGTGAGTGTCAGAAGCAGAATCAGAGCTGGAACCCTGTTTCTTTACCCATAAAATGTGAACAAACTCTACCTCCTAGCAGTGAAAGGAGTTGAAATAAAAACCACACTTAAAATTCGAAGGCCTGGGGTACCATATCAGGGGCTGTGGATCATCCTTCCATAATTCATACCATTGAGCTGTTCAGTTTCATCAATTCCAATACCACTAAATTGGATGAGTTCACATTTCTTACTGTAAAACGTCTCTGTGGCTTTCTTTTAGGAGGAGGGCTATTCAGATCTCTGATTTGAGTTTACAAGGGTGGAGCATGGTGGGAGTGGGGTATATTGGTGAAATCCTGATAGGAAGGACTGAGGGAAGTAGAGTCAAGTCTCAGGAAGAGATGACGAGGGCTGCTTGACTAGCTGGGTTGGGGGTGCTGGAGGGGTTTAGAGGGGCCTGCTTTGGTGGTTATTAATTAAGGCCTCTACCAGGTAAAACTTCTGAAATATACTAGCTGATTTGGACATGGGTCCTGGCTATATAATCTATTATTTTATGAATTATTACTAAAAACTTGGTCAAAATAGAAAAGTCAACATTATTTCCCCTTAGTAAGTACATGAGGTAAGTTTCAGTTTTTCAATGGGCACATTTTGTTGGGCAAGACCTTTGAGATGGCCATTGAACTTGTTTTTATATCCCATGCCTCTGCTGCGCTTCTTGTGAAGGAAAGAAAAATTACCCTTCAGTGTGTGGCTTGATATTGAATTGTTTCACAGCCAATACTTGCTGTCATTATATTTTAGGGTCCCTTTTTCTTGGAGAAACAGCAGAAACAGCCAACTTCTTGATGCCATTAGCCCACAAGCCTGTGTCATAAAACTCTTTGAAATGAATTTTGAATCAATCAGGACTTTAAATCAGATTATTAAGGAGAAAAGACTTATGAAACAAATTGTGAAAATGCTAAGTGAGTAGTATTTGTGTATAGTGTGAAAGAGAGGAGCAAAAACTCATCTACTGTCGCAGCTTAAGAGCCATGAAAACCTCCTTATATTTTAGGCCACTGGATTCAGGGCCATTGAAGTGTTCTGAAACCTCACTGTCTGGCTTCATATCCTAGCCACTTTAATTAGTTTGATCTTGGGCAAGTTACCTAACTTCTGCGTGACTTGGGGACCAAAAACCAAGGGAACTAGAGTCAAATCTTTAAGAACAGTAAAATGGGGATAATCCTAGATTGCGCCATGTGGGGTTTCAGTGAGGATTAAATGAGCTACTGCATGTGAAACACTCAGTACAAAAGGCCTGGCATACAGTGAGCCCTCAGTGAATACCAGTTGGTGTCGTGGAGTGGCCAGCTCCAAGGTTGATGGCAACAGGGAGAGAGGTCTTTAAACCTGTTCTCTCTTCCTTGTTTCAGGGTCCCGGATTGCAAGTTGGCTGCCGAGTTTTTCAGTTGAAGTGATGCACACCACCAACATTCTAGGCATCACGCAGGCAAGCAACTCCCAGCTTAATGCAATGGTAAGGACCGCCAGCTGCTTTGAGAAGAGTGGGGGAAGGAAAGCTGGAACATGTGTGCGGTGGGAACGACTTTGTTGGTCTTAACTTGGCTCTGGCAGGATTTTTAGGGGCATTTTACTTATTCATTGAGATCACTCAGATTCCCGTGTTTTAAATTTTAAAACTGGTTTGGAAACCAGCTTTTATTTTACTTTGTGGCAGATAATCTGACCTTTTCTGGGCACTGCTAGGTTCACTCTGTTGTGATGTAGGCCAGTCTTGGACTCTCCTGATTTTAGCCAGAATTAGTGGGGGAATTACTGACTGAAGTGAGTGATGTGCCGTGTATTAAAGGTTGTACTAGGTCTACCAGATGTGTTTTTTTGACCCTCGTCCTCTCCTTCCCCAAAATAAATAAATCCATGTACACACACACACATACACCTGTGTGTGTATGTGTATATATATCTTGAGATATTGAGGCATGCTATTGGCTTAAGGATATTGTTCAAATACTTCAAGATTCTTTGTATTTTTCTAAGCTTTGTCACTTGGTGAATTATTTTACAGTGTTGGAGACACTTGTTTGACTACTGTTGAAGTTCAGTGTTCGTTGCGATAATAAATGTATGAGTATTAACATGCCAACTTCCTTAGTCTAGCTTGATTAGGGCCTCTGGCTGATGTGGGTAAGCCTGGCCAGTACTTCAGAAGGTCACTGGTCATTTGCTCATTTATTCATTAACCTTAATATATTTATTCAACAAATTCATACTGAAAGCCTGCTCCTGTGACAGGTGCTACGTGATGTAAACAGAGTGCACAGCACCTGCCATGTAAGCAAGGTGGGTGTGAGCCCTGCTCTCAAGATGTGTTCTTCTGGCTGGGGAGACTGACTGTCAACAAACAGGATCATTGCTGATGTGCTGAGTGCTTTGAAGGCAGTGAGGCAGTGATGTACAGGGGGTAAAGGCTATTAGAGGAGGCATTCCGGGAGGTTCTCTCTGAGGAGGTGATATTTAAAAAACTTGAGATGTGCAGGATGAGGAGGCAGATCAGGGGTGGAAGCAATGGAAGCAGATACAGAGGCCATGAGGTGAGAAAGTTCTGGAAACAGAGGCCATTGTGGTTGGAGCCCACAAGTCGGGAACCAAGATTGTGACATAAATTGAGATTGCAGGGACTTGCAGGCTACAATCCAGTTTAAAATTTATAATGAAAGTATTAGAAAGCCATTCAAGGCTTTCTCTCTCACCCAGGGGACTGACGGAATGATTTTGCTTCTGAGAGAAGGAATGATAGAGGGGCAAAAATGGAAGCAGCGAGACCAGGTGGGAGGCTGTTGCAGTAGTTTAGGCAAAAGAAGATGGTGGCTTGGACAGGATGTATGCAGTAAAGATGAAAGAAAGACGCAGGTTGAGGGAAGTGGGGAAATGAAAGCATCTAAGCAAATGGCAGAACCATGTCTTTTTTTTTTTTTTAAATATATCTTTATTGATTTCAGAGAGAGGAAAGGAGAGGGAGAGAGAGATATAGAAACATCAGTGATGAGAAAGTCACTGATCGAGCCCGCAACCCGGGCATGTGCCCTGACTGGGAATCGAACCCTGATCGCCTGGATCCCAGGTCGACGCTCAACCGCTGAGCCACGCCCGGCCGGGCAGTACCATGTCTTGAGATGGGCAAGACGAAGGGATAAACAGGATTGGGGACAGGGAGTTGCTGTCATGTCAGGCTGGGGAAGTTGGGATAGCTGTGAGACATCCGTAGAGATGTCACGTAAGCAGTTCTGGACCTCAGTAAAGAGACCAAGCTGGAGATACACATTTGGGAGTTTTAATCTATAGCTGATATTCAAAGCAGGGGACCGGATGGCTTCTCAAAGAGAAAAGGGCTCAGGGCTGAGGTCTGGCAGGGAGGGAGGAGCCATGACCATGGGTGGAGGGGGGGAAGGAAGGAAACCAGAACGTGGTGAGCCAAGCCTGTGGGAATTCTCAGAAGACGAGGTCTGAGAAGTGCATGTGGATATGGCCGTGGAGGTGGTCAGCTAGCTGGAGAAGAACAAGCATTTTCCGTGGCCTGAGGAATTGAATACAAGATTGTGGTGGATTGAAAAATGTGTGGGAGCTGAAGAAATAGGCAGTGCCTGACAGTATGTTATAAAAGGGAGCAGAGATGTGGTGCTTGCTGGGGACATGGCATCAGGGGAGCTTGTTTTGTGTGTGTGTATGTGTGTGTGTTTTCAAACATTTTGAACAGGTCATTTATTCACAAGTTTCAAAACCTACAGAGGAGTATCAGGTGAAGTCACTTTTGCACTCAGCCAGGTTGTCGGCAGTGAGGGTGGCGTCGTGGTCAGAGGTAGTGTGCAGCCGAATGCAGCCTCTGATGCTTCTCTCAGGCTCTGTGTGGAGACGGGTCAGGCAGTTGTGGAAGCTCGGCAGGTGGATCACATCACCTGTCTCCTTAAAAAATCAGAATTATGTTCTTGGAGTTGGTGTGTTTAGAATTCTCAGGCAGGCCCTGGTGTTCTTCCTCCAGTTCCCTGATGGATTGGAACAGCCTATTTTTAGCACAAGTAATTTACTAGAATCATGCATTTTTTATAAAGGTTCAATATTCAACTTACTGGATTTTCTGGAAGGAAAGTTTTGGTCTCATAAATGAATCTTGGATATTTTAAATTTGGGAAATGAGGGGAAGCTGTTGAGGAATAGAGATGGATGTTACCTGGTTCTGGTTTTTATGGACTCTTGTTAGCTTTGCTTGGACCTAGGCAGAAGTGACCCACTCACATTCATATACACAATGAGGGGATCCCAGTACCCAGGGGATCCCAGTCCTCTGCTGTGCACCTGCCTTCCCCCACCCCAGTGACTTTAAGCAGAGCTTTGTGCAGGATTCACCCTGGTCATTTCTCTCAAGGCCTGACCCTGAGGCTCATTTCCCCTCTTTGTACTAACGGCATTTCCTTAGGAGCCACTGTCCTGATAGTAGACTTTATTGTACCCCTAAAGCAATTAGAGTTATCCTTTTCTTATTTTTTTCTTTTGACCATTGGGACTTTTCCACAAATAAAAGCTTGACCATAGCACTGTAAAATGAATATGCATAAATGGAAAACAAGACCTGGAGCCTCTTTGATGAAAGTATGGATAGTGCTGTGCCAAGACTCGTGCCTGCTCCCCCACATGCTCACACTCACCCCGGAGCCCTAAGTGGACTGAGCATTTCTAGAGTACAGTTTGAAAACTATGGCTCCAGAGCAATATTAGCAATTCACACTCTCTAATCTTTATATTCAAATTGAGTTATCATTTACATATAGTAAATTCACCCTTGTAGTATCCAGGTCTGTGAGTTCTGTCAGACTTGTGCAGTTATTAAGATAGAGAACCACCTCCGCTATCATGATAGAGAGCCGTGCAGTCCCCCTCCCCAGGTCCCACGGCGTCCCTTGTAATCGCTTTCTTTTCCCGCCCCTACCCTCTGGCAACCACTATAATTTTGCCTATTCTGAAGTGTCATGTAAGTGGAATTTTTTCAGGCTTCTTTCACGTAACTGCATTTGAATTTCACCCATGTGGTATGTAGCAGCAGTTCCTTTTCAAAACTATCTTTAAGGAGAACGCATTTTTATAGCCCACTTTGAATGTGCGCTTTTTAAAACTGGCACATTGTTGTTAAGCCTCTTTCAGGGCCCAGCTGAATTTCTGTATACTTTTTATTTTGAAATTGATGTCTCAAGTTATCTGTTGGGCATCCTGGAGAAATATAAAAGAGGGAGTGTAGTTGGACAGTGAGCTGTAGAATAGAAGTGGCCCCTTACCTTTGTTTTCAATGCAGATGCCAAGTTCAGTGGCCAGAGCCTGCCATACAGCATGCCATCATTGAGTAACTGTTGAGAGTGAACATTCTGTGATCTTTATGTTTGTGTTCCTATAGGCTCATCAGATTCAGGAGATGTTTCCCCAGGTCCCATACCCGCTCGTGCTGCAGGACCTCCAGCTGACACGCTCAGTTGAAATAACCACAGACAACATTTTAGAAGGACGGATTCAAGTACCTTTTCCCACACAGGTAAACTGGGGATTTGAGCATGATAAATGGATTCTGTCTTCACAAACATTTAATCCTCTAAAGTAACTTTTTTAGTTACTTTAACAGCTAAATATTATTTATGACTTGATGAAGAGTTTCTGTAATTTCCCCAACTTTCCAAATTATGACTGAGAACAGACCCACCAAAGAGGCTTGGGTTAAGACAAGAACAAATGTACTTGGGTCATTTATTTTTATTTGTATAGATGTACACCCAAACCAGCCTACCCTTGCCAGTCCAGGAGGTCATAACATTGGAACAAGGATTGGCAACCTTTTTCTGTAAAGGGCAGATAGAACTTATTTTAGTCTTTGTGGGCCATACAGCCTCTTTGTAACATCTCACCTCTGCCCTCGTAGCACAGAAGCGGCTGTGGAGAACATGGGCATGAACACAGCTGTGTTCCAGTAAAACATGAGTTATAAAAGTAGGTGGAGGGTGAATGTGGACCGTGGACAGGAGTTTGCCGACCTGTCTCTAGGAGATAATGCCATCGGCCCCTGGTTGGCTTTGCACGTTGGCATGGTTTTCTCCTTGATATTATAGCTATGTGAGGCTTGTACTCTTGACTTTTTAAAAAACATCAGGTTTCCTAGCCCATCATATATAACCACTTTGATGGGTACAAGAAGTATTAACATTTTAAAAGCAAGCTCTCTGGCAGGACCAGAGAAACATTTACCAAGAAATTATTCAACTTCGGTATATAAAAACATGGAAATCTATTAATGAAGTCCTAAAACTTGAGAATCTTTGAAGAGGGAATGAGCTTGGATTTTGGCGTCAAGTGAGCTGGGATATTCATTGAGGCTCGAGAGTCCTTACCTATTTGAGCTTGCTGTTGGCTTTGGATTTCCCAGCAGCAGACCCTGAAATAAGGATTCACAGTCCAGTAGTTAATTTAGGAAATGTTCTAGGAAACAGAGGCCGCTGATGGGACTGCGAGATGGAGAAGAGAAGGTGGCCAGCAAAGGGTTTGCTGTCGAGCAGGTTCCTGTCGAGGGTGACTAGAGCTGATCCCACTGGGAGCTTCTGGGTCCAGTTTTGAACTCATGTCTCTCTTGAGAGCTGAGGAGCTGGTGCTTATGCACCAGTTCCCATACATTGTTGGTTGAGGGCTGAAAATGAGAAGAACAGCAGCTCCTATTTCATAGACGCTAAGAAGATGAATGAGATGATCAGGTCAGGGGTTTCCCACAAAGTGTGCAGTCGATGTGACCTGCTGTTGGCACTTTGTTATTGTGTAGTTACTGTTACTGGAAGGGAAATGGAATGTGGAGCAGATGGATAACTCAAGCTTGTGCCTCAGGCTCCTGTGTCCAGTCTATAATCTTAGTAGCATTAAAAAAAAAAAAAAAATGTTTTTATTGATTTCAGAGAGAGGAAGGGAGAGAGAAAGAGAGAGAGATAGAAACATCAATGATGAGAGAGTCACTGATTGGCTGCCCACTGGGGATTAAGCCCACAACCCCAGGCATGTGCCCTGACCAGGAATTGAACCACAATCTCCTGGTTCATAGGTTGATGCTCAACCACTGAGCCACGCTGTCTGGGCCTTAGCAGCATTTTCATTTTTTGGTGCTGGGACTCACTGGTGGGACTAGCTCCTCTGCACTCCACGTTTTTCCTGTACCTGTTTAAGTTTGGAACGGCTCTGTACTGACTGTGGTGCTGTCTCTTTCAGCGGTCAGATGGCATTAGACCTGCATTGAACAATCCCATGGAAAGGCCAAACAGTGACCTGGAGGAGGGAGAAACTTCTGCCCAGGTAAGGTCTGCATACCAGAGTGAGTGTACAGGGTTGGGGAGAGACATGTGCCTGGCAGTAATCTTCAGTCCTGCCTTTTACATTCATGAGGCACGGGGCAAGGGTGTGGAAGAGGTCCATACATCATATATGTCTCAGTATTTAAGGTTAACACACCATGCTGTGCCCAGGGTGTGGCCTGCTTTCCCCCCAGAGCCTGCAGCCCACTCCCTGGGGATTGATTGTCTCAGGACCTGGAGGGGAAAGGATTATGTTCCCCTGGGCCAGCCCTGTCACCTTGATTGAGCTTGAGTGGTAGCACCAGGAAGGCAGAGTGAAGCTGGTCCCAGGACTCAGGGTGACTGGACTCACCCAAACCCAGATGGGGGCTAACTGGGGCTCAGCCTTCTAGAGCTGAAGCCATCAAATTATTCTCTCAACACTTCACCTGTTCCACTCAGCATTTCCAGGTCCTTCCATGCATTTCACAGAAACAAAACACCCTGAGTGGGGATGGGGTTGGAGGAGTGGGGTTGTCTTGCATCTCCAGTGTTTTGGATACCTGGCTTAGCTTAGATTTGAATGCTAGGCTGGTGTAGGGCATCTGTGGGTACAGCACGAGCACGCTTGAGTCCTGCCTTGGTTTCCTAATGCTATTTTTAGAGTTTAACATGAAGACTCCTAAATTAAAAAAAAAAATTTCTAACGTAGTGAAGGGAAAGTATGTATTTGACAAGGAAGCTTGCTATATAACAGTTTTGGTCATTCTTAGGAGATAAAAAGTCCTTGGGTAAAGCAGAAACTTTAAGTTAGCCCAGTCATCGCATCAGTTATGCTCATCACTTAATTCAGTCTCTCTGGCTCAACTCAGGCCTGCATTAGGCAGGCTTGGAAGCCAGCAGGAGCTTAGGGTGGGCTTCCATATCCTTCCTGCATCCCCTCCTCCACTTACCACTGTTCTTTCTAACCTCCGGTAGGCTCAGGCTCAGGAAGAGAGAGGGTTAGGGTGGGCCATGTGACCCCACAGTGTGTGTGTGTATATGTGTGTCTTGTTATCTCTGAGATCTCCCTGCCCCATCTAGCACCAGAAACCTAAACTACACTTCTTTGAACTTGAGATGGCTATTTAAGACCACCCCTACCTTCATGGGAGCCACATCCCCCTCCAAGTGGTCCTCTTGGGTAGGACCCACTCCTGCTCCCAGTCCACAGAGCAAGGCCGCAGTCAGTGGAAGTTGAACTTGCTCTCATCACAGCCTTCTTGTTAATCTGCTACAAGCTAGTTTCTCTTAGATCTCTCAGGTATGTGTGAGTCACCATCAGTCCCTGTGTCCCCCCAACTCTAGGGAGTATGAGTCAGGTGACATTGTTCTCTGGAAGTCCCCTTACTTGCTTTGCTGAAGGCAGGGGAGGAGGTAGTGGGGGCGGATGATGGAAAAGCTCCGCACACCGGCCTGTCCTTAGCCTTTTCCACCTCAGCTCTGTCGCTGCCTGGAGGTGGCAGCCTGGGTCTGTATCTGACAGCACCAGTGTAGATGGATGGTACCTGCCTGAGCATGTAGGGGCACCTGGACCTTGTCCTGGCCTTTGAGCTTCAGCCGAAACCAAGAGAATCCCATTTTAAATCCTGTTCCACAAGGAACCACATAATCTTAAATCTGTTTATAAAGATCCTTAGAATTTACCCTTTTTATCTGCTTGACTGTCTTTAGAGTCAGGTGAGGGTATAAAATTTGTGCGGTGAGCATGATAAGAACTAAATTTTAGAGCAGTTATTAGAATTGAACAGAAAGTTCCCAGAATGCAAACTAGCAATTAATGATTTTACCTTTCAAGAGTGCAGTCTCGAGGTGCATGTGTGATCATTCACCTGTTCCTCTGACATCGACCGTCCATGTGAGTCAGGTTCTGTTCTCACTGGTGCACAAGTCCAATTTGCGCCTACCCTCAGGGAGCCCACCTATGCCTTCATCACGTGCACCTGGTCCCTCCCTTTGGGCCCAGGAGAATGCTCCTTTGGGACACTCTGGACAGGTGGGGCACCTGCCTGGGAGGGTGGCCTGAGATCACAGGGCCCCTTGCTTCCTCTGTGTGCAGGCGGAGCGTGTGCCACTGGCTCTCAGCCCTCGGCTGGAGGAGGCACTGGACTTCAGTGAGGTGGAGGCGGAGCCCAGTGAGGGGGAAGACTTTGAGGCCCGGGGGAGCCGCTTCTCCAAGTCTGCCGATGAGAGACAGCGCATGTTAGTCCAGCGGAAGGACGACCTCCTGCAGCAGGCGCGGAAGTGAGTTGGTTCCTCAGCCCTTGCTGGTCTAAGTCCCAGGTCTGAGCCAGTGCCCAAAGGCCATTGTCATGTCAGGCCCACAATCAGGTCCTCTTAAACAGATGTCAACATAGAAAACCATTCTATGTCACCTAAAAATTCATATTTCAAACCTCTCTTGAGAAACCAGAGGATCTGGTAACATTGGGCTCCACTGGTGACCTCGGGCAGCTGCTGCTGTCGCCAGTCTTCTGTGGACATCTTCAGCCACACATACATGGACAGCACTTGTGCCAGCGTGTTCTACGCTCTTTATATTAATTATTCTGATTCTCTTGACAACTCTGAGGAGCACTGTAATTATACCCATTTGACAGGCTTAAAGCTAAAGAAACTGAGGCTTAGAGAGGTTAATACTGACCGTGGGCCCAGCCTCGGAGCAGAATGCACATCTGAGCCGCCTTCCCCGTGTCGGTGCAGCTGGAGCCTGGACTGTCCCTGTGGCTGTGCCAGGCTTTTTACTGACACTCTTGGGGACAAGGCCAGCAGTGTGTTCAAGGGGGCAGGTGTGGTGCCCAACATGCACCTTCTGAGCGTGGGGACTTCGTGCTGTGTGTGTATGTGGGAAAGGGACAGCCAGAGGACAGGGAGAGCTGAACTTGACAAGCCTCCTTCCTGGTGCAGAGAACACTTGTTCCTCTGCTCAGGGCCAGGGTGTCTTTCTCATGGGGTAGTGCCGAGTGACAGCTCCATGCAGGCACCTGGAAAACGAGGGGTATGTTTCTGTATGTCTGTACAGAGCTTCCCTCATGTCTCATGCAAATCCTTTGTTTTCTGTTCAAGGCGTTTCCTGAACCGAAGTTCTGAAGATGACTCGGCCTCAGAGAGCTGCCTGGCCTCAGAAGGCACAACCTCCGACCCTGTGACCCGACGTCTAAGGATGCGGACGGCGGGGGCCTCAGAAGGCACAACCTCCGACCCCGTGACCCTACGTCGAAGGATGCTGGCGGCTGCCGCAGAACGGAGACTTCAGAAGCAGCAGACCTCCTAGCGCTCCCGGCCTTCCTCAGCCACCTCCGCCCGAGCAGTGCGCCCCCTGGAGAGGCCTGTTCTCATCCCGCCTGCTGTCTGAAGTGGGCTTGACTGCATTGCCGCTGTATAAAGCATGTGGTCTTACTAGTGTTTGGACAGCTGACAAATGTAATCCTTTTTTGTAATCCTTTCTATGTGACATTTCTTCTCCCCTTAGAAACACTGCACATTTTAACTCTGGGCATGATCTCTTCTGGCATCGACTGGACTTCTTGGGGATGGGGAAGATCAGGAGGGCGTGGGCAGCCAGAGTCTCTCAGGCCGGCAGCTGATTACTGCTTTATGCATAAGTCACAATGAATGCCGGTGTCTCAGCTCCAAATCTGGCAGGAAGTGTGGGGGTTGGGGGGTAGGACTCATGAAGAGCTGACATGTACAGTGGGAGCTGACTCCACACCACAGGAGAGTCTCTGCCAAATGCTGTTCTTGTCAGGAAGTGTTCAGAATGTTGCAGGGGCCGGACCCCTGGGCTCCTGGACCCCTGGGCCCTCAGGGCATCTTGGAAAAACGACTCTTGGTTTGATATCTGGAGTAGCCCAGGGCTAGAATGTGAGCACGTGACCCATGTGCCCCAGAACATCCAGGACTTCCTTTCTGAGTCCCAGTCAAAGCTGGTTTTATTTCCGTTTTCGCTGGTGCTCCTGCGTCTCACGAGTTTACCCTGTGTGTGTGTCCTCTCCTCTCTGCATGTCACTGCCCCCAGATGTGGGGGGTGTGTGTGGGCAGCACTGAAGGGGTTGAGCAGCAGCTTTAGCTTATGGTTTGAATTCCTTGGCCGAGTCAATACCGAAGGCTGTGGATTTGGTCCTTGGAGAAAATGGTCCTTGGAGAAAATGTGGGCTTTACAAGATGGAGAGGACTCTCTGGAGGGCTTTGCTGGAGAAATAAAAGATACCTTTTCTATCTTCTCTGGAGCCCTCATTTTCATAACTGTGTTCCTGTTGGTGTAATTAGACGTGGGAAGGCAAGATGCTGCATCCACCTGCTTGGAGCAGACCCAGGTCCTGACCCTTTTCAGATTCTTCACACATTTAACTTTAAGGATTTGAAACATGCAGTGATAGGTTACATAGTTCAGTTTTATGTCCTTTCGGATTAAGTTTTTTTAAATGTTTGAAAACAGTTTTACAGTAGTCCTTTGGGGGAGAATCCAGTATTACCTAAAATTATTGGCAAAGTTAAATGTATTTTAAACGGAAAGTTTTTAGAATGTTGAAAAGTAATTGAAAAAAGTGATGAGTGAATGTTTAGGCCAAGATAATTTATTTCAGTAAATTTTTCAAAAGCCTTACCTTTGAAATGCTGTTAGTAAATTTCTGTGATTTTTTAAAAAGAAAATGTGTTTTGTTTTGCTGAGAGCATAGTTATTTGTTTTTATTGTAAAACAATAATAATAATAAAAAGCAAACCCTATTCTTAGTGTGCTGTGTGTGGCTGGAAGCTAAGGCTGGTTTTTTCAGAGGTGCCACTGTTGGATTCTTTTTTGATTTTGTGTGTACCATTTTGGCTGGAGGGTTTTTTCCATCCTTATACTCTGCAGGCTGTGCTCATTAAAAATGGCATTAAATGTTTCAGATGTGTGAAAAGAGAAAATTGTTTGAAGTCAGTTTTAGGTCTTGAAACATGGAATCTAGCAATATGACAGCGGTCAGAGTGGAAACATGCCTTACATAGCTTCGATGACCAAGAAGAGAAGCCTTAAATTCACTGTTAGATTTTGCACCTGGGTGGTTAAGGGTTCTGGGCACTACCTGGCATAGATACTAAGGGCAGTGGCAGGAGGCTAGACCAGTGTCCCATTGGACCCCTGTCTTTCCGTCTCACTGTCCTGGCGGTCTCCAGGGTCGGGGAGCCTGTTCTTGTGCTCAGCCCCGTAGGCCAGCGCAGAACAAGGAGTGACTTGATGCTCTGGTGCACAGGGGCCACGTTGCCCTTGCCCTCTCAGCTTTCGGAAGTAGTCTGTATTACTCCCATTTTCTCATGGGCCCTGTTTCGTTGAGATCTTGGGTTTGTGCCCCCCCCCCCC